TTTTTCCAATTCCATAATCTCCTTTCGACGCTCATACTCATTCTTTTTCATGTCTTCAATACGCTTTCTTCTAAAGTACGTTGTCGAGCAATCACATTCGTTACGTAGCCTTTTCTTGAAAAGGCAATTTGTCTCTTAAGCTGCATAGGCGATCTTATCTTCAACGTATATTCCATATGGTGGCCATTGTAAATAAATTTTTCTGTATGAAAGATTGGTAGTTGAAGGATCAATTTATCATGAATTTTATGAGATACAATTTTACAAAGTGTTTTGACTTATTTTATATGATATAACTTATTTTATATGATTATTATATATGATATGATTTTTAATTTTAAAAAATTTTTGTATAAAAAATATATTTAAAGTACTAAATATTCTTATCAAATTTCATATTTTAATTTTTAGCGTATATAATATTCCTGCTATCTTTATAGCCTTTTATATTTGATTTTATTTCTTTGTTTTTTTATAGTTATTTTTTTGTTTAATTCATATTGTATCATATTGATGCATAATCTTCAGTACTGAATGAGTGAAAATATCGATACTTCGATAAATTAAACATTTCAACAGACTTGAGTTTGGCAATGCCTCGAGCTTCTGCACGCTAATTACCTCGTAGTTTCATGCATGTTTGACTTTCTCGACTAACGTAACTCGTTGTCGGAAACGAGAGGTGTCTCCGTCGTGTATCGCTCTGGCGAAATCGCGGTGCAAATTACCGAGAGCAATTAAGATCGTTAATTACTGACGTCAAAGTGCGTGTCGCTCTTCTCCAGTACAATGAGAATTCATGAAGAAAGGCACGCGTTCTCTTCATCAGATACGGAAGGCTATCGTAGTCTATCATCTACGATAATTATAATTAACATGCGAATCGACATTGGAAATGCAATGTTATATCGACATATATATAATATATATATTACATACATAGGCATACATGTACGCACATAATATAGACTAAAATTTCTCTTCAACATAAGTCAAGAAGGAGACTTAGTTTACAACTACGATCTTACTTCACTCCATTCATCTATTCCTTTATCGCGCACTCTATTTAAATACTTAATTAAGTTAAAATACTACATCTCTCTATCTCTATATCTGTTTCTCTGCCGTTCTTTTGCTTTATCTATGTCTTATCTATATTATCGCAGCCATATACAAATCTTAATAAACTTACTTTATTGCCTCTATGTATACTTGTCTTATTCTGTTCTTTGCATTGCATCTTCTTCTATCTCATACCCTTTCTTCTACCTTTCTCTTTTCTTTCTGTGAGTTCTTTCTTTCTATCTTTTCATAATTTTTTAGTATTTTTTTCTTTTTTATTTTTTTATCTAACACTTCTTCCT